GAGCTGGTGGACATCCCAGTGGAGCAGCCCGTTGAGACGCAGGTGCACGTGCCCGTGGCCACCCGGTTGACATTTTGAAGCTTCTGAGATGTGCGTGGCTCGCCGTTTTTTGGGGGCATCCCCTTTTTGGGTTTGTTAGGGGAATTAGAGAGTGAATACTTTCCCGTAGTTCGGATATGGACCTCCAAGGGGGCTACAGGGGGGGGGGCTGTCCTTTATGCCAACCTTAAGGCCTGAGATAGACCCTTAGGTCCGGGTTATAAGGGATTTGCTGGGGCTTGAATGGGGTTTGCTAGCCACCTATTTCATAAAGTCGATTAAAGGATACATCTGGGCCATTTAACAAACTGCTCCCCTCTTCGGGGTTGGCCTAAAGGGAAGCCGAAAGGAACTCGGCCCCGTTTTGGCGGTTCCCCAAGTAGGAGACATTGATGTCTGACGGACCCTTGGCTCGCCTCCCAAAACCCATCAGGAAATGCAACTCTGGGAAGGCTGACACCAGGTTAGTTTTGATCGATTGGGGGAGGTTTTCTGAGCCCCGAGGATCAGCGAGGTTGGCCATTTTCAGCCAGTTGAAGCGAGCCAAATTGGGTCGGAATAGATTGATCTCATCCAACAGAGACTCCGCTGATTACTGGTGTTCTTTGGCGTCCCCCACCAACAATCAACGCTTGGAAGACAATTTCAATTTGGACGAAACATATTTCGCGCATTCGTGGTCGTCTGGAGTTTTGGCTTCAACTCGCCTCCAGATGCGCCATGGTCAAAATTCTCTTTTGCTTGGGGGTGGGGGGAGGGATGGTCATCAACTCCCATTGAGTTCAGGCAACACGACCATGGCCCGTATGTTTGGGGGGTCTTGACCATGGCCCATATATCATACTTACGCGCGGACCAGGCAAGCCGGCTATTTTTTCACGAGTTTGGATAGAATGCTTTGACACCTTCAGGTGGACACGGCATTCCAACGGCAGCCTTTGTTTCTAAGATGGTTTCCGCTACCCCTCAGAAAACAACAAGAAGATAACACACACACACACACACACACACACACAGACGCAACAAATGATCAGCAGAAGATAATAAACAAAGGACACCAAGCAAATTCTCAAATTCATGTATCCATATTTTGAGCGTTTTGACCATACAGCTGATTTTACTTCTCTCGCCGAGGTGAGCAAGGTGGAGCGAATCGTGCACAACCCGGTGGATCTGGTGGTTGAGGCTGGGCTCGGAGAGGGTTTCGGCGCGTGTGACGCATGGCCGGTGAACAAAGAATCTAAAGATATGCGGCAGGTTTTTGGGACGAGCAATTAAATAGGGGCTACCACAAGGCAACAAGCAAACGAGCAAATGGGAGGTTTTCATGCCAGATACTATTTTTGGCGTGCCCCAGCTAAAACTGTTCATCCAAGGTTGCTTCCGAAACTTTCCCCACGGGGTGGAAGCGCTGTAGTTTCCTCCCTAATGTAAGGGCCTTAGATAAATCATTGGAATGGGGTTGCGAATTAATGTCATTTTTAGCTCTCATATTATGATCATAGTGATGACTTGGTTACGCCTCCTTTTTGCGGGCTTTCCTTCGCGCCAATGTGAGGTGCCCCGCCCCATCGTCGTGGAGAAGTCCATCCAGGCGCGACACATTGGGGCCACAGATTTCCTGGTTTCCCCTTTTGGCGGACATCACCTCTGGGGCCAAGTTCAAGTGATTTCCATTGCTGGTGGGTTCTACAGATCGCCTGATTTGCCTATCTTGATCCCCACAGCTGGGGGTAGATTTCGATTCAAAATCACATTACCAACTGATTTAGAGGATCCCCCCGTAAATCAGGTGGTTTGGGCAATATTCATCAGGATCCTTAGGGCGCAGCAGATATTGACTGCTATGTCCCAGACCCTGAACCCTGGAGCTCCAAGCGTTTGCGCTTGGACCGAATGAAGCGGGGTGGGGCGAAATTGGTTTGACAGGGCCTCCTCTGGGAAACCTCAAGGCCGTGGTTGTTCACAAACAGATGTGTGTGTGTGTACTAAAGTAGGGGACCCCTCCAAATGTGGACTAGCTCCGACTTGCAACAACAGAGAGAGGAGTTGGGGGATGCCCTTCCAAAAAGAGAGACCTCGCGGGATTTCTGGGTCAACGAAACGGTGACAAGAACATCTTTGCCCTTTGCTATGATGCAGACTTGGGGTTGAAGGTTGACAAAGGTTTTAGGCTAAAGCACCGTAGGTGCCCATGATCCAGATCGAGGAGAAGACCGTCAAGGTTCCGAAGGCCCGGAGTCCGGAGATTGGGAGATGCGCTTGTGATGTCCGAGTGTTTGGTACGCGTCAAAATGGGAGGACACGACAAATAATTCCAAAAGAACCTAACCAAGGGTGACTTCTAAAAAGCACACTCCCCCTTCTTTCTGTTTGGCCTCCAAAGCTGGCAGTCTCATTGTAACCCAGTAGTCGATTGCCAGTGACCCTTGTTTCTCCCCCTGGATTGAAGATTTGGCACGCAAAAAAATCCCGGGCACTGTCAAAGCCACCCAATCCGGGGCTTCCCCTGAAGCCGGGTGAGAATCGGGCCCCTTGAAGTGCAGACGCCCTCTTTAGGGGTCCCCAACTGAAATGCCCCAAGAGCCAAACGGGTAGTGTGGGGTGTTTCCGCAAGCAGCTGACCCTTTGAGGTTTCAAGCGGACGAAAAGGTGGATGTTCAACCAACTTAAGTTGGTTGCGAGTTATGAGTCATGAGTAATGAGCGAGAAGCGTTGTATGTAGGCTCTAATTAGCAAGCAGGCTTCAGTACTCAAGTAGGTTGCAGCCATAACATGTCGACTAACTCTTGTTGTTTCTTCCCGGTTGAACATCTCTCTGCTGCTTGCCTCTTCAAGTTCCCAAGGGCAGACACCCTCAAAGAAGGGGGCAGCACCATCGCCACACAGGTCCAATTCCAATCGGGCACAGCGGCACACCAACACATGTTCGGTCAGAACTTCAAGTACTTAGTCTCCACTAAATTTTGGGAGGGCTATTGGAGGACTCTCTTTAATAGTTTTCCGCACTCTCTCTCTCTCTCTCGCTCTCCCCCTTTTTCTCTCCGCCACTTTCTCTCCCGCTCGTTCGCTCCCTCTCTCTCTATTCCTCTTTCTATTACTCTTTCTCTTTCTCCCTCTCTCTTTCTCTTTCTGTTTCTACATATCCTCCAAAATCCAGAGTCCCAGGAGGACTGGACTTTTCGACGAGCATTTCCACCCAACATGTTTTTCTGCCACACCCTTTACCAAAAAAGCTGTCCTGGATCCAAACGCATGTGGCTTACCGCCGATGTCGGCTAGGTGATGAACACCGTGGTGGACACCGTGGTGCAGCATCAGGCAATGGTTGCAATGTTTAGGCGTGTCTAAATTAGGAGACCCGTTGGTTGAAAAAGGGAAACCAACAGCAAACCGACGTGCCCCAATTTTTGTGAGAGACTCATTTGTTGAAGAACCGCGCCTGGTTCAAGTCCTTTCTGGGTCCTATGAAAGGGGGTTGTTGTTTTTCACCGGAGTAAGCCATGGTTTAAATAATCGAAAGTTGTTTAAACAGCTTGGCGGTCTTCGCCCAGGTGGAGAACATCCATGTGGTGAAGCCCACCGTGGCACCTCGACATGAAAATCGGCGTGTGCATGGGGGCGGGTTATGCTTGCGGGCGGATTGCTGTATGGGGGTTACTTTCCGTGTCAACAAGAAGCCCTTCACAGCAACAAGATAGTCATAGGGTCAATAAATGCGTCAACTGGTCAAACCGCTCTTTCAGTAGAGATGGTGCACAACAATGCCTCTTAGAACATGGCATCAAAACATGTCGTCTCCGTATCAAATGATTTGGATATGTCTCAACATAGGAGCATTTAATGATCGGTCTTCCCTGTGGCTTCCCCTCAAAAGCAAGTGGACAATTCCCATTTCAAGACACAACCAATCCGGCTTCCTGTGGAAGGAAACCAGGCGCATCTGCCCAGGCCCGTCCCGACCTCAAATTTACCAAGCAGGTGCTTTGTCTTCTGGCAAAGGGAAGGGTTCCAATACATCCACTTCATGTTGAAGCTAGAAGAAGAGACAGTTTTTCCCACATAGGTCTCTTAAAGAGCACGAAGGGGATGGCCCGTGTGTTCGCCAGCAAAGGTGAAACGCCTGCGGGAAGAAGCAGAATGGGTTTGCCCAACGAAAAGACTCAAAGTGGGCTTCGGATTCCCCTTCCCTAACCAGCCCCAAGTGGGGAGTCGGCTGGTGTGTCGCTTTTCCCGAGAAGAGGTTTCCGAGCCCCCAACAAACAGGCGCAAGTCCACAAGAGTGTTTCTCCTAAATCCCCTTTTGATTGTTACGTAAAGGGACACTGCAAGGGACACTGACCAGTTTAGGGGACCCATTTGGGTGTGCATGTTCATCAGGGGACCCTTTGGCAGACATTTTGGGAACCCCCAACTTTGTGCGCCAAGCTCAGGTGCACAAGGTTGTCCAGCGCAAGAGACCGGTGATGATGGAGCGTGTGCAGCACGTGCCCAAGGTGAGCCAGTGGGGGGTGCTAAAAGAGCCCGGTGTCGGAAGGACACAACGCATTTTAGTGTTTACTCAAGAAGCCGCACAAGTGACATGTGGGCACACACAAAACCCTGGCCTGTTCATTCCAGGAAGCGCGCGGCGCCCTCTTCAGGGGCTTCCTTTTCCTTTTTGCAACTCCCACCCGAGTTTCTTTTTTTCTACCCTTGGTGGTTGGTTCCTTTGTTCCTTTTGTTCCTCTTGGTAGTTCCTCTTAATGGTTCCTGGATGGTTCCTTGATGGTTCCTTGATGGTTCCTTTGGGTGGAAGTCCACCTACAGCGGTTCAAGCCCTTGTTTTCCGTGGAAATTCATATGAATAAAGCATATATACACATATATACAGATACACTCACCTGAGAGTGAAAAACGCTCCCCCTTGATGAAGATCCCTTACTTGGAAGTTTCTTAGCTGAGGTTGGCCATTGATTTAATGGGCTGAATTCTTACATTATTTTCCCACGATCATGACTTCATTTGGTTTGAAGGTCCCCCGGGACCCCTCGGGGTATGGCAATTTTCCCAGACGCAAAACCATGGACAGCCTGTTCAGCGCCTCGCAGATCATGGTGCAGCACATCCCAGTGCAGAAGGTCGTCGAGAAGCAGGCAACGCATCGAAAAGAGATCGGAGTCCGATTGCTGAAGGAGTGAAGTAGAAACATCAAAGCAACGGCGATGCGCAAAATGGCATCTCAGACTGTTTCGCGTCCATTTTTTTTTAAAACTAACTAACCCTAGAGAGAGAGAGAGAGAGAGAGAGAGAGAGAGAAAAAGAGAGAGATAGAGAGAGAAAGAGAGAAAAAGAGTGCAGTGGGAATTCATTAGTTGATTCCCAACAGCTATGGGGCGAAAACGCAAACCCTTGGTTTTGGAGCGCCTGAGCGCCTGCGGGCGCGGTTCCTGGGTACTAGCAAGACTCCGGGAAGGTTCCGGAAGGATCTGGGAAGGTTCCGGGGCTGTTGCGGATGCTCCTTGCTTTTCTTTTTAATCTGCTGGTGGATGCATAGGGGACCGTCCAATGATGAGGATCGTCCACCCTTTCAGCGACCACACCCTATCAATCTGCATTTCGTGATCATACGCGTCAACATTAATGTCAACTTCGAAAAGGCCTTTGCACGAATCAGAGTTGAACGCCCCGCATATGAGCCACACACAAATTCTGGGCAGCTCTATTTTTGTACGAGAGCGTCCCAACCAAGAGCGGATATTCGACTTTGTGATTTTTGACACGGTTCTGGGTAGACTGCAAAAATTCCCTTTTTTGATGGCTCATGTTGCTTTGTCCAGCAGTGAACGGGTGTTTCCCGCCCGCTGAATCTGTGAGCTGGATGAATCCGAAGCAGTCAAGCCGGGCTGGCTTTGCCGCCTTCAAAGACAATGGTTGTCCTGTTCCGGTCACTTCGGCTGGGAAATTGGTTTTCGAGCTGCTCAGGAAGGGTGTGGCTATTCACTGGGCATGGGCTCGTTTTGGAACCCCGCTTCTTTTTTGTCGCTGAAAGGGCAATGAATCGTTCAGCGAGCCACACACAGTAAATCGCAGGTGTGGTTGCCCCTGTTGCCAGATGACCGCAGGTGTCCAGTCGGTTTGGACAGAAAACTGGTGAGAGGGGGGGGGGGGGGGGCTGAGCGAGGTGCTGGGAGTTTTCGGGGCACTTTCTGTGACGCCATACACAAGACAAGCATGGACAACGCCTGTGGGAGCGATGCCATGGGAATCCCCTTCAAAGTGACTTAAAGTAGTCACGGGAAAGGCCCATGTTGGTATTAGAGAGGAGAGAGAGAGAGTCCACAATCATGTCCAAGAGCCCGTGATGCAGTGGATACTTGCTTGGGCACCTGGACCATTTCCCAAGACGGCTAATCATCATGTGCACTCCTGATCAATTGCCCCCCCCCCCCAGTTACTAATCAGGACAACTGCCGCTATTTTGGACGACTCAATTTGGAAGATTCATTTGAGTAGCCTCGCTGGATGGCTTGCAGATCCAACGGGAGACCTTTTTGAGAACGAGTCTTCCTGCTCGAAGGGGAGGTTTTTCCGCTCGGCCGGACACGCACAACTTGGCACCTGGCTTGCCGAGGTGCACATCCCGCAGGTTCAGTACTTCGACGAGTTTGTGGATGTGCCGATGGTCCGCCACAGGCCTGGCATCGACTGCATGTGGCGACCCTGTTCAGCAGGCAGCATGTGGGCTGGATGAAAACAGGCGGTCCGGGTAGTTAGTATTTTGGAAGGAGATGTCGACCACATGTCACATTTTGGATATGCCAAGGACAAGCCAAGGATAATCCAAGGATAGGCCAAAGGGCTTACTAGGGGATAGCCTCCCTCTCTATGTCCTTTCAACAATCCGGTGCTTTGTGTGCACTCTGCTAGCTTTGTGTAGGGGTGTGGCTCAAGCTACGCGTAGCATCCAGAAAGCAACAAATAAGCTAAGAATGATACGGAAAAGCAGGGCAACTATGAGGGAGTCTAATCTTCACACTCATGCGATGCCTCAACTGTGGATATTGCCAGTTTTGGGTCGACTCCTTCCTTGGATATTCAAGGGAGCTAACATCAGATATCCAACTTTATATCATTTATATCCAGGGTTATAACCTGCTTACTAAGTGGCTGTAACATCCAAGGTGCAACATGATTTCCTTCCCAGTCTTTTTCGGGCGCTTGCCAGTTGGTTTCTTACAATTCTGTAAATAGCCCACACGAAGTTTGCATTTTTTTAACGGAGACAAACGACCCACGGACATAGATTAAAGGGTCAAAGTTACGTCCTGATGGTCTTTCTGGGGTTCCTTAGGCACCACGGGACCCTTTGAAAGATATGGGGGATGTCCGGATGTCCCTTGCGCCAGGCAAATTCCGATGCAGGTGAGGAAGGAGCGCCAGGTCGAGGCCCGACTGTTCAGGACTTTCTGGTCGTGGGAATGGAGAGACCAGCTGGTGGGGAGCACCCTGAACAGTTGGTGAACAGAAAGTTGGCTTGCTTGTGCTTTCTATTGAATCACCGGTCTAAAAGGGATCCGGAATGATACATTGTATAGATACATTGGCACAAACAACTGCAGCAAGACGAGCATTGCTGACTCCTTCAGTATTGCAAATTAATAAATGATTCCCGACATCCCCGGCTGCGAATGCTCATGAGTCAAGTGCACCACATCACATCCCCTTCACACCAGTACATGAGTACTCATATTGACCTCACAGGAGGAATGTAGCTTGCAGCAAGCTGCTTGCTGCATCTTCACCTCGCTCCTACAACCGAGATAGATTCCGATCTTGTTCGCAGTGGGCTGGCCCGAAAAAAGCCCAGGCTCGTGGTCCCCCACGAGTGGTCCGAACATATCTAGTGGGCGTATTGCAAAGTTTGCAGTGGGCGAGTACTTGGAAGATCGATTTTTCTCTTCACAGGACCCTCTGTCCGGTGACAGGTCAGTGGGAGGGAGGGTTTAGCCCTTCAAGGAGCAGCGAACAGGTCGTTTGCAAGGTTCCCTCGTCAAGCTTGGGCCAACATCAAGATGTCACATCTCTGACTTGCTTGACCCGCCAAGGCCGTTCCTGGCCATTCGTTGTCTTGGCTCAACAGCAAACTATGCTACAGTTGCAAACCCTTTGCAGTGTTGTCATCCAAAGCCTGGTGCGGTTGTTGCGCCTAAGTGTGTGGAGATAGAGAGAGAGAGGGAGATCCTAAAGCAGCGAAAGAAACGGAGAGGAAGCTGCTTCAGGTGCCACACGTTGAGTACGTGGACCACCACATTGAAGTGCCGGTGCAGAAGCACGTGCCCTTGGAGCATCATAGGTGTACTGCCGTACTCCTCCCCCATTGACTGCAACTGTGCACCAGCTTTTGGCTCCCCAACCCCCACTGGAAACGATTTACTCAACCCGACCAGTCCCAGTTCAGTGGCGCTTTTCAGATATTCGGGGGCGGTTAAAACATGGACCCCAAAAAGGCTTCCCTTTTTCTAGCTGAGCTGGGTCTCCTTGAATGCCCATCGGTTTTGATTACACCGGTGTGGAATGCTGGTTTTTGCTTTGTTTTTTCCGAGTCGTTTTCCGGTGGCCCTGTGTGCCGCAGGGAAGTGAACCAACAAAACGAAGTTCTGCCGTGTGCTGAGGTGCACATCCCCTTGGTGCAGACGGTGCATAAGCAGGTGGAGGTGCCTCAGGCGGGTGCAAAATCTTTAGCCAAGCCCTGGCCCCCGCCAAAAGAGCAGCCCAAAGGAAACACACCCAGGAAGGTAGATGCAAACAATCACCCGCTGGCCCCTTTCAGCTGAACCAAAAGGAGATTGCTGGAACCAAGGGTAGGCCAAACCTTGTTCAGGTGCAGTACAACAACCAAATTGTCCATGTGCCTGTGCAGAAGCAGGTGCACGTGCCTCGGCCCAAATGGCATGCCTTTTTGGCGCCCAGAAGGGATGGGCGAAGGACGCTTGTTGGCACCCCGAGGAAGCTGGCAGCTTGGGAAAGGAGAGTTATTTTTGGGATAATTTGCAATGGAAGCCAACAAGAAGGCAAACCAGTTTTTTTGGGGTCCCTTTGAGGAGACCATACCTAGGGGCCGAATTTGGTTACCTGGTTTCCTTGAACGTCCCTAAGGGCAAAGGAGATAAGTTGTTCAAACATTGCGGTTGTCATGTCTTGGAACCAGCGTTTCGACCCAGACACTGCTGCAGCCCCTCTCTTTTCCCTCTCTTGCTTGGGGAGGGCATGGCCCAAATCATTCATCAGCTTTATTTTGTGCATCAACAAACCTGGAAGGAAACTCCAGTTTGAAAGCAAGACTAGGCTCGTGATCCTGTTACAATGTCCCCCCCTGATTGGGACCGCGGAACGAGGGACCTTTCCCCCTTGCCTGCGTAGGATTTCTCTTGGAGGTATGAAATTCAAACTTTCCAAAATGCTAAAAGGGCCACCCTTCTTGAATTTTCCTTGCATGGGCGGGCCTTTGTTGACCCAATAGAGCGTTCCATGGACTCCTCAACTTCGGAACACTTCCCAAAAAGCCCAAGCCAACAGACTTTGGTGTCCAGGTGCCCATGATCCAAAAGGTCCAGAAGACGGTGGAGGTGCCACAGGTGCAATACGAGGATCAGATTGTCCACGTGCCTGTCCAGAAGCAGGCCGGTCAGGTCGAGCAACACTCGTTCGCCGGCCTCTGATGTTTGGCGACCACTTTCGGTGATGGCGGATCCTCCAAGTTGCTGTCGACCACTTGCTGGAGGGCATGTAGGGCTATGGACCAAGCTTTGCAGCCTTACCCGACCAGAGCCTGTTTAGGCTGAAAGAAAGGACTTGTTTGGGCATGTTGCAGCGGCCTCCCCGCATGACCAAGGTTCCTTTGCCGGGGTTGTTTTTGGACGCTGTTAGTCAACCCCTTGCCCTCCCTGTGGAAGCTGACGGAGTGTCAGAGGACGACTTTTCTTTTGGGTAAGCTGTGTCCACGCCCATGCTCGGTACAAAGGTGATGTTTCAACCAACTGAGCAGGTGCATGTGCCGATGGTGCAGACCGTGCAGAAGCATGTGGAGGTGCCACAAATGCAGTACGAAGACCAGGCCTGAAGGGAAAACCGCCTGCATTATTTGTTTTGCCTTAGTTGCTCTTCTTTAGTGTGTTTGGTTTGTGTTGCGCTTCTTTGGTTGCTTGCTTTGTTGGCTTGGGTTCGTTCGTTTGGTTGGGTGTGGCGTGGTTTGGTTTCGCCCGAACGGGGGCGCTCCCCAAGACTTCAGGAAGAGAGCCTCGAAGTGCAAGGCATGCCACGATGTGAGCGCCCAAACCCCTCAATTTGAGGCCATTTTAGGCTTCTGGTTCGGTTTTTTGGGGGCTCATGGTTACAGGGAATCCTCCTTTTCTGCATTTGTGGATTCCTTGATTAGCCGATTGATACCACATCCCCACCTTTCAAACCGTGCAGGACCATTTTGGCATGGCATGACCATTCCCTTCAAACTAACATGAACGCCAAAGTGGGGGGGGAAGAGTGGTGTTGGGTTCCAGATTATCCTGCAGGGGAAGTTACCGATGGTTTTTTGGAGGTTCTGCATGGTTAACGTCCCTGTTTACACTGGGGACTCTTAAAGCGTCCAATTGTTTGTTTGCCACTAGAATGGCTTTCTCTAAACACAAAGTTCAGCATGTACAGAAGAGACACATTTCAGGTTGTTGAAGAATCGACGCTCTGGTCGCTCGCTCAAACATACTGGTTTGTTCTTCCATGTTCATTTGCTGTGGAGTAAGCGTTTGTTCTTGAAAACCCCGAAGAGGCTCACAGGCTTCGGGGCGCTTGCTGTCAGGTGGTCCAGGTGCCAGTGCAGAAGCAGGTGCAGGTGCCGATGATCCAGAAGGTTCAGAAGACCGTGGAGGTGCCGCAGATGCAGCACCTCGGCCTTGAACACCCAGAACTGAAGGTTGGAAAATCTTCGGGGGGCCTCACAAATGGCTTGTGACCTCCTTTTGCTCTTTAAGAGGAGTTGTCTGGTGGTGGTTTCACAAAAACACCAAACACACCCGAAAAACCCTCGGGCAAATTCTGGCAAGATTCGGGGGTAAGACAAGCTTGGACCCAGGATGAAGGGCCTCTCAATGGGGGTCCTTGATTCCGGTTTGGGGGTTATAGTAACTTCTCACAGACATGAGATATTTTGGCGCAGGTTCCATCACGGAGGGACAGGGACCAGTTCACCTAGCCGCGAGGGGGGGGTTGGCTGTGCCCTCCGTTGGATGCAAGGTCGAGACCACGGGCAAACATGGGCAAGCCGTGCCAGGGCCAGGGCCTGTGCCCTTTTAGGCTTTTAGGCCAGTTTGAACATCAGGTTCCACTGATTTCAGTTTTTTGCACATCTGGTTTTCCAAAAGGACACCCGGCCTCGAGGTATGGGGACCAGCTCGTCAATGTGCCTGGTCAGCAGGGCCTGAGCACCTACGGCGCGCCAGGGGGTGTTGGTCAGCAGGGCCTGAGCACCTACGGCGCGCCAGGGGGTGTTGGCGCACCGATGGGTGGAGCCCCTGAGATCGTCCAAGTGCCGGTGCAGAAGCACGTGCACGTGCCCATGGTCCATCAGGTGGAGAGGAGCTCACTTAAGATGTGAGGGGTGAAAGACAAGCAGGTGGTTTTTTGGACGTATCCTTTAAGGAACCCTAGTTGTGGACCTATCAACATTATGAGTTTGTGTGACTTAACACAAGCAAAAAGCAACACCACATGGGCCGCATTCCCCTCTCCCAGGGGAGGAGAGATCTTTTGCATGGGTGATTCCCCGCGTGCCCCTGAAAATGATCACGCAACCCAAAAGGAGATTCCCTTTGCCCCTTTGGGAAGACTACAGTCCTCTTGAAAGTGCCGGCAGCTGCCTGCTTCCATGATTGTTTCCGACTGAAGGATGACTTTCTGGGCCAAACAAAGAACATGCGTTCGGCCCGACTGGGATTCGTGGAAAAAGGGATCTCTTTTTGGCTGACCATTTCAAGTGAGGGCACCTACAAAAAAAGACAGGGACAACATGTGGAATCAAGTCCACTGCTCATTTGTCCAGACGTTGAAGACACCAGGCTGGTGAGTTGGGGGATGTGTACTTCCCTGAAAGCTGACTTGGGTCTCCGAAAGGCTTCAAAAAGGGTGTCGGACGCTGTGGTTTTGAGGTTCCAGTTTCATGTTTCCTATGCATCGTTTGCGAGCAAAATGGCGGGGCTAAGAGCGTCTGTCTCTTCCCGGTTGCCTGGGTAATTGCCATGGTATGGTTCTATGCGAGAAGTGAGGCCGGTAAAGGGGATCCAAAAGATTGGCCCCAAATTCTGGGGAAGTGCCCGATCCTGAAAAGTAGCTGGATCTTGGGCCTCAGCACTCCGAAGTCCGAAGCGGCCCCAACGCAGGAGCGTGGAGGTGCCGCAGATCCAGTACGAGGATCAGGTGGTGCAAGTGCCGGTGCAAAAGCACGTGGGGCGGCCCAGTCCGAAGCTTCCAAGGGCTAGGCGCACTTGGAGAGTTATAAATGGGACAAAAGGGGTTGTATAGCTGTAGCCTACTTACTTAGTGGACTGAACATTCAAGTACTGCACGTAGCTGAGGGGTTGCTTGCCTTCCGCTGGGGGTTGCTTTCCGTAGATGTTCTTGGTGTCTGCTTTTCCGAGTCATTTTTCGTCACCTCTCCCAAAATTGAGCAACAACTATGGAGAGTGTTGTGAAAGAGGTTTATCCTTTGGGGTTAGCTAGGGTCAGGGGTTGTTGGACAAATAAATGGTTGTTCCCTGTAGCTCTCCTTTTTGTGGTAAGCATTAGCTTGTGAGCCAATTGAATCTGAGCTTCCTTTGAGCGGAGTGTTCAAAGGGGAGCCCTACCAAAAGCGGTACCCTCAGAACATGCAAGCTTCCATGTTAGCCTGCGGGACGAAGGATTGTCTATGTCATAGGCCCCTGAAGCTGCCTGCGCCTGGCAGCGGGGGGTGTGCCGGGTTGGCCCCAAACATCTGCGGAAACGCGCAAGCAGTTTTGTAGAAACATTAGTAGTGGTGTAAACGCCGCGTCGGTGCCCGCTGGGCGCCGCCCGCCCATGTTTGCACTTGTGACATTCTGGGCGACCATCCCTGGGTCAGAGCCAGAGTTGCGGAAAATCGGGTTTTATAGCCGCTTGCTGTGATACCATGGAAATTTCCACAGTCTTCTTGGCATCACAGATTTCGGGTGATTATCCACAATCATGACCATTCCGAAGGCTTGCAATAGCCGGGCTTCGCTCTCTTGTATTGGGGATGGTTCGTTTAGCTTTGGCACAGGGAAAGAAATGCTGGAGTCTTTTTCGTTCTCTCTGATCTCTCTTTCCGCCTTGCATTTTTTGCGTATGCGGACGCCATGACGGCCTTAAAGATGTTTCGACTCATGGCTATCAAGATATTGATTGGCCCCATGAAGCAATTCTTGTAGAACCACCTAAAATGGCCCATATGGATTTTGTGCACTGCTCAATTGAGCAACAAGATGAGGTGCACGTGCCGATGGTGCACACGGTGCAGAAGACGGTGGAAGTGCCGCAAGTGCAGCCTTTTGGCCTCTGACTTTGGGGCTTGAAGGGGCCCGAAGGCTGCTTTGGGAGGTTTGGATCACAGGTTTCAATAATCTTCCCTGGATTTGCATAAGTTTCCATATCCACGGGTTTCCAATGGTTCTTAAAAAGTCTTCCATATGTTTCCATAGGTTTTAATAGGTTCTCATAGGGCTTTGCTCTGACCATATTATCGATGGATGCAATGCAGATTCATGGGGCTTTATCCATCCCAAGTGGTGGATTTTGTCAATACGGTGGGTGTCCTGTGTCAGTTTGGTTGAAACTAGACGGGTTCCACTGGTCTGATTTTGGTTCTCCTTCACCAGTGGAATCCATCTACTTTTCCGAACGGGCACCTAGGGCCTTCTACAAGAGAATGCCATCGTGTTCACCATAGTTTTGCTAGCCTCCATTGAATTTGACATGTCTTAAAGTGACATCTTCTTTAATTTCCTTGAACTTTCAGAAGAGCTGGAGCCCACATTTTTTTGACGGATCAGAGGTTGATTCATCGTCTTTGTGGTGGCTGTAACTTAGGTGAAAGCTTTCAACTTTTGACACTCTGGGCTTCGAACTAGTAAGAGGCGGGTGAAGGAAGTTCAACTCAATATTGACAAATGGATAGATGAGTGCCGGGCTTTGCACCAGCTTCACTTGATGTTTTTGTAAGTTGTTTGTCTTTGCTCTGTGAAGGAGCCCGTTCGAGCAGGATGACTGACGTTGCAGCCCTTCTGCCATGATCAAAAGACCTTGCTTGGGGCCTCAGGGATGATCATGTACCCATTATTTAGACAACCGTGATCAGGATTCCTATTCATGGAACCATGACCACGGCACACACAAATACGCTCTTTCTTTCTTGTCTTCTGGCTTTGCAATCCTTGCACACTTTCTTGCCTCAAAGGTAAAGATCCAAAGTGCCCCTCAACGCGGCGCTGAGATCCCGCCGGTGTGATTCCTGTAGCTTGGTGTTTCCACCTCTCGGCTGAGGTTTGTTGACTCCGTGGTGCATGTGCCCGTGGACAAGCAGGTGCACGTGCCCATGGTGCAAACAGCCCCACGGCTTGAGCGACGGGGATCGCTGGCATGCGCATGAGGAACCGGAGTTCAAAGCGGCCAAAGTAGGAGTGCTAAAACTAAAACCTCTTCCCACCGAAGCGACAGGATGGTCAATCCGCCAAGCCTGTTTGTGGTCCTAGTGCAGGTTCGGGCATTTAACGGGCGATTTTCGGGTACTCCGGAGAGTTGTGGCCCTCTCAGTAAGTTCGCTTCCGGATCTCCTCCTCCTCCTCCTCCTCCTCCTCCTCCTCGTCCCTTTGTTTGGGTTGTACCGTATGAATTGGCCACCGCTTCCGCCACTCTGATTGAACAGAGGTCGAGAAGACCGTGGAGGTGCCGCAGGTGGAGTATGTCGTGGCTTGACTGTTCAGAGCAATTTGTATCGACCCCGGATAAATACACCAGGCTAAAAACAGATGGCAAAGTATCCTGTAGGTGGGGAAGCAAAGGGGCTGGCTCAATCAGAATGGGGGGGGGCTTTTGCTGTCTACCTTTACCCAACTGTAAACCAGTGGGATGCATAGCGGGTGCCATCAAAAGTGAAGTGTCCCTCTAAAATGGGACACCCATCCAACTACCGTGGAACCCACCAGAGGGGTTCCCTTTTTTGGATACACTCCGCAGAACCCCCAGTTTGTTCGGCGGGAGGGTACCTCATTCGGAAGCACGATTTGGGAGACTACATGGGGGATGTGTCAAAAGTAATTCGACACTGGGGCCGGGTCAAAAGCAGGGCTCAACAGCAGGGGCTACCTACTACCTTGATTGGACACATGCTACCCCCAGAAAAAGAAGAGAAGAAGTGTAGGAGTCCTCTGGAGCTATGCCAACATGGGGGACAAAACACAACATTTCAACCGTAAACTAGGGGGACCTGCTCGTTCCAGGTTGCAAAAACGGGGAGGGGGTCACTCATTTTAATTTCAACCGCAACAACGAGGGGCAAAACGCCATGTCCATGCATCCTCGTGAAAAACCGAGTTCTCATGAAAGCGAGGACAGCCACGTCCACATCCCCATCCAGAAGCAGCGGCATGTGCCGGTGCAGGTGCCCGTGGAGAGACCCATTGAGGCGAGTGAGAGTTGTCGGGCCGGTTGGGCGCGGTGCGGTTCTTTGGCGTTTGGTTCGAACGAACATCAACTTTGTCATTGTTTTGAAAAGAAAGACCAAGCATCACAAGTGGACCTTTTCAAAAGGTTTTGGAATATCACGAAACATCAACAGATGTAAATTCGGAACGTGGATTTCATGGAGCGCTCAAGAACAGCGGTCAATTGGTGAAGCGCTTCATTGCCAGGTCAACGTTATCGAGACCCTCGAGAAGGTCATCGACGTGCCGGTGGTGAAGCAGATTGAAGTGCCGCAGGCCGTGGGAGAAGCGCCCGATCGCCTTTGGGGCACCCCCTCTTTCGCCTTGGGAGACCAGAAGGACAACCACCATGTTAGAGGTCCGTCGGTGCCCACTGAGGTTCGGTCCAAATTGCCATGCCTCATTTGGGAGGGACAAGAGCGTCTCCGAGCTTTCCCACAAAAAGTCACGGGCCCCTCTCCAATTGACCGATGTGAGAGATGTTGAATCATGCTGACCGTGGTACAGGTGGGCGTGTTTGCATAGCCACTTTAGAGGGGATCTTTCGCTTTGGATGAACCCCTGCCTATTGATCCCACTTCCCTCCCCTTCTAAGGCTGCCTTGGATACTGCGCCGAAACAAATGCAAGCAGCCGGCGCTTCGTGACATCTTTGCGGTTTTTCATTTGCGGGGAATTATTTCTGCTAAACTTAGTCTCTGGTTGGAGTCATTAGTGGATATTTTGCAGTGGTTTGCTCCTGCTTCAAAAAGGGCGGACTTTCAGCAGATCAATTCTGATTGCAACATTGTGGAATACCATTGCACACTTCCCAGTTGCCCACTGCATGCTTGTTGCTGTTTGATTTGCTGTCAGAGTCTCTTTCGGGTATAGGCAGCTTCATGCTTCAGGTTTGAGGGTGAGAACAGCAATACGCCTTGGAGCAATTGTTTCAGTCTGACTTCACACGATGGCATTGTGGCCTCCCCCCCTTTCCCGCCTTCCCCCCCCCCCCCCAATCTGAGTTTGTGGTCAGGTGCAGACCATCGAGAAGGTCGTGGAGGTGCCCTTCGCACCTTGGAACTTTCGGCCGACCTCTGGGTAGGTGTGCGTGTCCTTTTTTTCAAGTTTGGGGGCTGGAAACCAAAGGGAGCCACCCGTTCTGGGAGTTCCTCAATTTTGAGGCAAGCGATTGTGTCAAAATAGGAGGGGCCTGAAAATTGCGAGGGTTAATCCCATGCTTTTCGACCATGTTCAAAGACTGGCAGTTCTCTAGGATTTCTGAAAATGGAAAGGTGAAGCTTTGTTGTCCTGCGAAAGCTATACCGATTTCTGAATTGAAAGCTGATCAGAAAAGGGGTAACTCACCCTGAATGATGCTCTTACCGGGAATCGCCATTTGATGCTGGTTTGCTTTGGTTTTCTGTTTCAACTGTCCACCAACGGGGTTCGCCATTTTTGGTTCGCGTTTCGGGCTGCCAGCCAGCCAACCAAGCCACACCACGCCCACCAAGCCAACTAAGCCAACTAAGCCCCCCTACCACCCCCCTCCCACCAACTCCCACCAACTCCCACCAACTCCCACCAACTCCCACCAACTCCCACCAACTCCCACCAACTCCCACCAACCAACTCCCACCAACTCCCACCAACTCCCACCAACCAACTCCCACCAACTCCAACTCCCACCAACTCCCACCAACTCCCACCAACTCCCACCAACTCCCACCAACTCCCACCAACTCCCACCAACTCCCACCAACTCCCACCAACTCCCACCAACTCCCACCAACTCCCACCAACTCCCACCACCCCCAACTCCCACCAACTCCCACCAACCTCGCCCTCCCTGCAAACCCATGTGTGTGTGTGTGTCGTTTTGTGAGGGAACCCTTGGGGTGGTTTCAAAAGGACACCACCCATTTTAGGAGTTCCATATCGCATTTTGAGACAAACCCATGTCCTTCCGTGAGGTCCAAGTGGTGGAGAAGGTCGTGGAGGTGCCACAGCTTGGCTCCACCACCCAGGGCTCCGTGCGGGAGGCGGGTTTTTGTGAGAGGAGGTGGGTTGGCTGGATGCTTTGATGGGTTGGAAGGGAGGTGGGTGGGTCGCTGGTTGGGTGGGGTGTGTGTTAGCCATTTCTTGCGCGTTTGTGTTTTGTTTTGCCTGTTGGGTTTTTATTGTGCTCTGCTCTGCTCTGCCTGCCTGCCTGTTTGTCTGTCTGTCTGTCTGCCTGCCTGTTTGCTAGCCTGGTTTTTGTTTGTTTGTGTGTTTGTTTGTTTGTATGCTTGCTTAATTGCTACGGTTGCTTGACTTGCTTGGCTTGCGTCCTTGCTTGGCTTGCTCGGCTTGGCTTGCTCGGCTTGGCTTGGCTTTGCTTGCTTTCTTGTTTATTTGTGGGAGTTTGGTTTAACTTGGTGTGATATGGTGTGGTGTGGTGTGGTATGGTGTGGTGTGGTGTGGTGTGGTGTGGTGTGGTGTGGTGTGGTTTATTTGTTTATTTATGCGTGGCAATATGTTTGTATATTTGAGCTAGATATGCTACCAAACTGTGACTACAATACTAACACATCATGCCTAATTTCCGAAAGCTGCATGGGACAACTGCAACCACAGCAAAACCAGAGTTGAACTTCAACCTGCAAAACACCCGATCTACATAACACACGGCTTCAAGAAATAAAGCAAGCAAGCAAGCAAGCATGCATGCAAAATGCGTGAATGCATTAGTGCCTGAATCCAAGAATGAATGGAATGCAGTCGAATGCAATGCAACACAACACAATGCATTGCCACGCAACGCCTTGCAATGGTTTCATGCTGCTTCTTTCACTTTTTTTGGTTTTGCCCAACCGTGTGCCGGAAGATCCAAAGACAATTCAATTCTTCAGGAAAATTCCTCAAGGCTGATTCTGAGGCTGAGAGATATTCTTAATGGGCTGACATGCAGGCACTTTGTGCTGCATTTCACCAGTTCTTCATGGGCGCTCGACCTACTTGGGGGATCAATCGTTCGCTTTGCTTTTGTGAGGTTAGCCTGTTTGGGGTTGTTGTGAGGCACTGCAAAAGGACACCAACCAAAGTTTGAAGGCTAGGGCGAGGCCCAACTGTGTTTGAGACATACATGGCCGGCCATCTCGCAAATTTCAGCGATTCAGCGGTGAGGTGGATATCGAGACTGAACCTCAGGTACAGGCAGGGCCCGGGGATCGGTTCGTTTCCAGGTTTAGAAGCTTGAAGCGACTTGCAAATATGGCGTCTCAGAATAGGTTTCCCCGCTCGGAAAAAGGTGGGCTTCCCTTTGGTTTCTTCAAACCAAGCCAGAGGGTGCCCCAGCTGAATGAGACAAAGCCATAGGTTCCTTCAAGATTGAGCCTCAAGCAAATGGACGATAGCTGGACGTGGCGATGGGATCCTTGCCTTGATTTCCGAGAGCCCTTCAGGAGGCTATGTGTCGCGGGGTCTTGCCAGTGGGAACAAGCAATCCCCGCAAAAAAGATGCCACGGCTGTGGTTCAAATAAAGCTTGAGACATATTTAGGAATCAACCGTAAGGTTGATCTACGCCAGAGGATGTAAAGCACGGCTTTGAGTCTTCTGATGCATTTTACACGGAGCAGACCATCCCTCAAACATCTCCGATCAACACAAGATGCGTCAACGCCCATCAGACCCGGGTCCGGAGCTGAATTTGTCAATTGCCCTGTGTACGCCATGCGACTCTCGCTCACAACGGTCTGCTCGATGCGCTTCTTCGCCACGTTGCTAGCACGTGCAGTCGGAACAAATGCGAAGCGTCGCTGAATATCCAAGGCCTGCTTGCACACGTGATAGGGGGCCAAGGACAAACGAGTCCTTGGACAATATGCTGGTGCAAAAAGCAAATTATGTGCAAGTTATGGCAATTCACCAACTGAACATAGGGGCCTTAAAAACCTTCACTTTGGATAGTATCGCAAACCGAGTGGCCTCGCGATAACTTGCCCAGATAGATCCAGTGTCTATATTGACAAAACGTGCCAAAAGGGCACCGTTCTTTGACAGCATGACCAGCCACAGCTCTCAGCCAACTACTGGTCAATTTCAGGTCGCAAAGGCAGGCATCGAATACCCCAGAAACTACGGACTTACCGGCTGCAAGTGCGACTCTAAAGATGTGATGAGTGATGGGTGACTGGTGAGATGACTTCTGATTGGTGACCATTTGAGACCAACATGGCGCAAACCTCACATGATTCGGCCAATGAAGAGAAATCTACTTTGTCAAGCTTGGCCGTTGGAAACATTTGATGTTGTCAATCACTGGCAACCAATACAGCGAAGATGATCACCTCGATCAGCTTCAGAAGGCTGTTTTGGCCAGCGAGATATGCTTGGGGAGTATGACACTCGCTAATTTGGACATATTCCCAGTGGATCCCAAGGTTGTCCATTTAAGACTTGAGTTTGTCTGAAACTCAGAGACGCCCCAATCATGGATTTCGAACTTCCTTTCGGTTTCCTCCCCAAAAACAACCAACCAAGGTTCCTGTAAGAAAGGACGTGTGCCGCATGTCTTTTCTTACAACCCCCCCTTGGTTGGTTTCAAGGGGAAAGGAAAAGCAAGACCAACATTTATTGGGTTCCTCTATTCGAAACAAACCCACCTCTGGCAAGGCGCAGGACTGCTGCGCCACCCTGGAACCCTGAAAGAGAAACCGAAGGAGACTAACCACTTTGACGGGGCCTTATGACTCAAACCAGGACGATGTACGTTGTGGGTCAAATAAGTAGGTATGCAAATTGTTTGTCCAATATGTTTGAAATGGTCATTGGTACGGATCAAAACGGGGCTCCTAACGGGGACCCAATCATTACCACACCCCCCAGTCTGGTATCTCTGTGGCTCAGGTTCTCCGGTGGTTTGGGCAGCAGGGGTCTGTTCGGGTTTGTCATTTTGAGCTGCCTTATGTTGGGTTTGTCACCCCTTTTGGGCTGTTAAGGGGACGACAGGAAACAGACACATCCTGGTCCATCAACGTGCCATCTATTCGAAGGCTTGAGGCACAGGCCCATGGGACGCCAGGAGTATCCTGCGCAGGTGGTCAACCAGGCGCGAAATCAACGGGGCGGTCCTATTTAGCGTATCTTTTTGCGGGTACCCGTTCCGGAGTCGGGAAACTGCCCCCATGTTTGGGAAGAGAGAAGCCAAATTCTTCTGAGGGAGCTCGCCGATTTGCAGGCAAAACGAGCTCACCAACACTTGGAACTCAGTGTGGCAACTGTGCTAGCCAGAAAGA